AGAGAGGGAAGTCTGGGCATCTTTGCTTAGACTGCTGCCCCCGCGACCCGGTCCCGGATAAGCGGAGGAAAATGGATGGATGGATGGATGGAGATTAAAGACTACATATTTTTAATGGCAAGCCTGTGCCACATACCAGGGGCATCTCTTTTAAAGCCATATGCATTTTTCAAGTAGAGAAGATCTAATAAAGAAACACAAATGAGTTTCTTTAAGGGAAGTGTAGGATGTTTTCAGAGCCTGATTCATGACTGGGACCAAAAGTTTTTTGTTGCAGTGATTTTGATAATCTTTGATTAATCTGGGTCTTGCGATTTCTCTCAACTTTATGAAAATGCAATACTAAATCATTGGACTACTGCATAACCCTTCTGTGTCTGATTGACAGGGAGGCATTCACTGACCAGGCACCATCATCACCATAACCAATCATCTGTCAGCAAGGAGGCCTTGAACCCCAGGATGGTGCTTAGTGATGACTCAGCAGAGAGAGAGCACCTGATCGGAGCAGAGCTTGAGACCAAACGTCCTCCCAGTTCCACCAAACATCACCGTTCCCATAAACATATGCACCTGGATTTCATGGAGGAGGGCCTGCCTGTGGGGGAGGAGCTCACTGCTGGTGGGGCGGGTCCAGACCAGCCCGGGAACCCCTTGTCTGATGATGTCATCACCGTGGAGTTTCACAGCCAAGCGCCAGATATCGTGCCCTCTGATGTTGGTCTGGATTGGGCCAAAGCCCCAGAACCACAGAAGCAAAAAGGAGACCATACTGCATGGACGATTTCAGACTTTTATGTATACTCTGATGATGACCTCTCAGCGCTAGATACAACGCCAGAACCTGAGCCCACTCCTTTACCCCCAGCTGTAATGGAGGATGAGAATCCTCTCCTTGCTGGTTCTCCTGCAGTTCCTGACAAAATGAAGCCTAATGTGGACAGAGATTCCTCCTTACCTGCTCTTCCAATCCCAGGGCCAGACAAGAGCGGTGGGCTGAGCTTAGATGGTGCCATGGGGACTGACGGCTGCAGGCTGGGCTTTGTGCGTTCTGGACCTGGGGTGTGTGTATCTCAGTGTGACACTGAACCAAATTTCTGCCTCAATGGAGGAGTGTGTACAGTGGTGGCAGGAATAGGAGCTTTCTGCAGGTGAGAAAAACATGTTAGTTTAGCAATGAATAATGAGAAATGTCCCTTTATTTTTTATTAATGTTCATAAGCAGTAACATTTTAGAGGAAAAGTGATAGGAAAGCTTATGTAAAAGTATTAGTGACAGTGGGCTGCTAGATCATTCCCATTTTTAATATTTTGTTGTTGGGATCATTTCCCTCTGCAGCACAAAAGAAAGGATTTAAGACACTTCAGACAAGTGTACAGTACACATTGAAAACCCACACCAGCACAAAGACAGAAGGCTGGCTTAATGTGTCATGAGGGTTCATCAGGATCACAGCAGGTTCTCCAATGGATTAGCTCAGTTTTGGAGGCAGGGGGTAAAAAGTGTGTGTGTGCATGTGTTGGTGGCCGCCGATGTAAAGACACACAGTATGAACACAAAGAAGGTATGGCCAAGATCACAATACAGTAAAGTCAGAGAAGGACACACACACATCAAATAAAGACATGCTCATGTATATTCACTTAATACTGCCATCTGTCCTATCCTGCAGCTCAGTGTAAGCTTAGAGGTAAATGGTTGCTCATCATACTGTATCTGCTGAGTGACGGCACACACACATATGCTCATGCATGCACAAACACATTGGGCAGTAAGTGTTCAAACACTTGCATGTACAGTAAATGCACAGTGAAAGACAGGAATAAGGAAATACTGTACTGTACATACACATGTCCTGATCCTTTTATGTCACTGAGGGCCAGGCTGCAGGCCAAATCCCTGTTTTGCTGGACAGACTTCAGGACACGTGTCATCAGTTCTGAGTGCCATTTTACAATCTTTACTGTGGATAACCCACTGTAGCTATGAAAATGGTAAACATGCTGCAGCAGTGGGCATGGAAAATTAATCACAAAAACTCAGAAGCTAAAAGTGTTCAAATCAAAGGCAAATATATTAATATCCTCTTCTCCTCTTCTGTATCCAGGTGCAATGTGCAGGACTACATCTGGAACAAAGGCACCCGTTGTGACTGGGCCATCACAGAGTTCCAGGTGTTGTGTGTGGTGGTGGCTGTGACCTCCCTAGTGCTCCTCCTCCTCTTCATGATCATTGTATTTTTTGCCAAGAGGCTGTACCGCCTCAAGAATGAGAACAAGCGCCTTCGCAAACGCAGGTGTGTGTGTATATATATGTGTCTGTCTGAGAGGTGAGAATGTACAAATACAGATGGGTGACAAATTAAAGGACAAACTTGAATAAATTATTCTCTTCTAGGATGACACTGATTGGTTTGGTGATTGAAAATGATGTGAATCACATGCTATGGCCTTCACAGTCACCAAATCTCAACCCAGCTGAACACCTATGAGAGATTTTGGAGTGACATGTTAGACAGCGTCACCACCACCATCATAAAACACCCAATGAGGGAATCTTTTAGAAGAATCCTCCAGTAGAGTTTAAAGACTTGGAGAATTAATGCCAAGGAGCACTGGACGCTGTTCTGGTGGGACGTGATGGCTCACCACCTTACTAAGATACTTTCTATTGTTTTGTTTTTCCTTTAATTTGTCACCTGTTAAGTGTGCTTGGAGTTTCATTATTTGCTAAGTGATTATGTCAGTGCCAGTCTGAATCCTGTAAGGCTTTACAACAACTGACAAAGCATGTTGAAATGGAATGATAAAGAGAGCAAGTTTGATTTAATAGTAATCAGCCACAATCTTAGTTTTTGTAGTTGAGCTAATTCCCTCTGGTGTTTACTGAATTAGTTACATTCTTAGACTGATTATATACTTTTATGTGTATGATGTTTATGCGTCTGACAGAGGTTTCCCACCCATTTTTATGTTTTGCAGAGCAATGTAGGAAAATATGGCTCTGGAAAGATACAAAGGAACAGAGTGATAATCTATATATGCAAATATTTCTCACACAACCTATCTCTGTCCGCCCTCCAGCAGTAAGTACCGCCCACAGAGCAGTGAGCCGCAGACGGATGGTCTTTCGGTTTCCACAACAGCTGACGGCTCACAGCCAAATGTAAGGAAACTGAGTGACACCCCTCCACCCGCTTCCCAAGCTCACACTCACAACCTGGCGTACTATGACAACATTATCTGTCAGGTATGCCCCAAGTCTCCTAATGTTTACACTCATTTTTCTCCATCTGTTTTCCTCCTCCTCATTATGTTGACTCATTTCCAGCTTGATTAGTGATTTTATCTCCATGTATTTGTCTGGCTCCTGTCTGTGTGTCATCTATCTGTATTGAAAACATCCAGTTAACTGAAGCTTGCACTGTTATGCATATAACAAACTCACCTTGGTTACCTATTAAATCAGACTGGGTGTTTCAACTGCACATGTGTGTATACAGTGTGTGTGTGTGTTTAAAACTTTTCACTCACTGATCCCCTCAGAGGCCATTAACAACCAGCTATACCTGGGAATATAAACCCAGAAACCCTTATAACCACTTCCAGGTAAGCATAGTGGAGACATTTATATTGTCTACAGCAGTTTCCCTCCCTAGCTTTGCTGTGAACCTACCCACTGTGAAAGTGTTAGATGCCAGATCTTGGCTCTCCATCTGAACCTCCCTTTTACAAACTGCATCTGATCTTCTATCAGATGTATTTCACATACACTGTAGGTAAAAAGATTAATCACCGCCCTGTATTCTTTCTGCAACCCATTGTTCAGAGCTGTTACTGTATGTGATCACTAGTGTGTGAATAAATAACACATTCCCATTTTTGCTGCCTCTTAGCTTCCTGAAAAGCTCAATGAGCAAACTGAGTCCCCATTTTGTTTTAACTGCTTGCTTTGCTCTTGTGCCCTTAAAGCTTCAAAAGTAATTTTAGGGTCCCTGTGCAGCCATTTTCTCCTTTCCACCCAGTTCTCCTCTTTATTGAGTTGAGCAGCTGTACTGCTGCTCAACTCAATAAACTATAGAAATCACTGTTAATAACAGCAGATAAACAGAAATTCACCACATATAGCCTCTAAAGTACATGAGATCAACATAACAAAGCCATTATTTACCAGTGGATTTAAGCTTTTTGACCTAGTCCCTGATGTGAAAGGGCATTTAGTTAGTTGTGCCCAGTAGTAGCCAGCGACTGATCGATGGTGCACTACTTCCTGCCTCCTGTGCCAATGACCTTCAGATATCTGTGACATGCCAATCAATCGATGGTTGAACATTTACAAGCTGATGCATGCAGATGTAAACAGACACAATAGTTCTATAGTGATATAAACATGGCTCTGACATGATAATTACATGCATTTAGTACATTTAACACCAGGTGTTTTCACAAACACAAGCACAGCATCACATGTTAATTCTCAGTCCATTACCCATATTTGGCTGGGCTAAGTGAAGTGAACAAATTGTGACTTGCTGGTTTACTATAAGCCATTGCTCTGGCATTTCAGCGCAGATATTATAGATGAGTTTCTGTGACCATCAGATGCTCTAAATGTCAGGTCTAGAGGCTAAAGGCCCCTGCAGGCACGTGGTCTGCAATGCTGCTATTAAAAGATCAGGGGTCTGATTGGTTCTTTTTAAATGCCGAGTTATAATTAGTTGATTAGATTAAGGTCTAATTAAAAGTGTCAGTCAATGACCTATGTCATTCCAAGAAGATCACCACTAGCATGACAGAATAGGCATATGATGGATAAGCATATGCCTTTGCTTTGGTCATTACTGAGCTGTGTGACTTTAGTTTCCATTTTTAATGTTAGAAAAGTTGAGCTTATCTGTGAGGGTGTTCAGAGTCAGATGTTCATGCAGTCCTTCTATTTTGTGGATGTCTTTGCCAAAGCACCGATACCAGGTTTCCCTGTTACATGACTATCAACATGTCCAGAAATTTAGTAAAATACAAATTTGATAGATGAGAGATTATACAATAAAATTTCAAGTTGGGAAATCTGTCAGTCTACAGTGGAGCTTGGACACTTGCAGAAAAGCATCTAAGGTTCCACACAGTCTTACTTGCAAGTCCAAACACAACCAACATGAGCAGCTGATGCGCTTCAAGTTTGCAGAACCCTATCTCCAAGGTGTTCTCTCTCTGCGTGTATGTATATGTAAATGTGAGGCATGTGTAATGAGTGATAAATTTTCCCCACAGGATGAGCCTCAGAAGCAGGAGGACCCTGCCAAGTCCCCACAACCTAAAGAAGAGGGGTCTATGAACATTCTCAACTCTCATTCCCCCAAGCATGAGAATAACCGTCCAGCCTCTGTTGTCCATGACCACGGTCACACCCCCAACAACACAGAGGAAAATACTGAGGTAAACATGCTCCAGAACAATCTGGTATAGTGTCCCTATCTGTCACAGTGCACTATCCAGACTAAAATATTGAATGTGCACACAAGCAGTAACAAATTGTTAGAGGCTAACATTGTTTAGCAAAGTGCATACTGGGTTTTACAGGTTTAATCAGGCCTAATGTCAAAAGTAAGCACAGCATGAGTTTAAGGATACAGTTTGAAAAGCACAATAGTTTTGTTTACAAGGCTGCCATGCCAACACCGATCACATAGTGGCACCACTGCCTCCATTCTCTTCTTTCTCCGCCTCTTTTGCTGGACTAAAACCTGTGGCTTGGACCAGCTAATGACTGACTTTCCTCTCTACTGATGCCCTGCCTTGGTCTCTGACCAATGACCGCTTGCTCCTTCATTGTGTCCTCCTATTTTCCCAAAAACCTCCTTTCATCCTCAAGTTATTGTCTCTCTTTGCCCGCATGCATTGGTGTAGTCAATGAAAAGTGTCTGAAAATTTAATATTTGCAAAAAACATATGTGGAAATCAAGTGACTGTATTTGCATTGTATTCATGTTTGACATTGCTAATAAGTGGATATAACTAGATCACACAAGGTCAAAGTAATTGCTAAGAGTTGATATTTGAATCTATATACATATATAACACACACCGTGTCTTGGTTTTCAGTGTGATTTATAATACTTTAATGTACTTGAGGTTCTTTTGTACTTTTTTGGCTATGACGAATAGCTCAGTTGTTGAATAAACCTTTTTAATTTTATCCAGCTTGTCCCTGCGTGTTGCTATGAGCTCTGCTTTCCCTCCAGACTCTCCCTCTTTCTTTCTCTGCATGTCTGCTCATGATGATGCTAACTAACTATTCCCATGCTTATAATGTATGTATGCACGGCTGACCCTGCTTTTGTGCTACAGCAGGCTGCACAGAGATTACATTACACACACACACACACACACACACACACACACACACACACACACACACACACACACACACACACACACACACACACACACACACACACAATGGTGACAGTGTGCCCCCTTCAGCACCACGGACAGCTCTCCAAGATGAATGAAGCTACCAAAAGAGACAATAGGGAATCACTTTTTAAATTCTCCATGTCATAACATTAAAATATTAAGCAGGGTTTTTAGTTTTTAGTGCTTTTGCAGGGAAACAACATGGATTAGTGAGTTTTTATTCTGTATATATAGAATCTGTGCCCCTTTTGTGTTAGATTTTCAAAACAATTAATGATGAAATATCTGTTCTGAGCTTAATTTTTCATATCTTTGTCTGTATTTTGCAAAAGACAATGACTGTTTTGTTGTACAAATTTCAACTTCCAGTTTCTAACACTTTACGTTTGCATGAGTGGCCCACCACTATTAATATTCAGACTTGCAATTGTATTATTTATATGTAATATTTTAGCATTTTAAACAGGTATTGGTTGCTTTGTCTAATATTGCTAGCAAGTTTACAATTTTATGTCCAGATGTGTCATTTCAGTTTCTGCTGATTTAAGCTATTATACTTGTGCCCAGGAGCCCAGTATCACAATCCATTCATGAGTATGTTTGTCTGTGTATCTTTAATTCTTCAATTCTTTAATTATTTTGCCTATATGACTCTCCCTACATTGTTGCATCCTCCTCTACTTGCCATATTTCCACACCAGGATGGGGCCACTATTGGCCTAGAAGTGCTTCTTCCTAAAGAGGCCAAGCTCCACTCAGAGACCAGCCCATCTCTTCAGTATGATGTCTTCCTCTACAAGGTTGCCAAGAATGGAAACTCTTACTCCACTTCTCATCTTATTCCCAAATCACCAAAATCACCCAAAACACCTAAAACACCCAAGTCACCCAAAAGGCCTAAGTCACCAAAATCACAAAAACACACCAAGGAGCACTCACCCAGCTGCCACGAACCCTTATCTGGATGGTACTCCTCACCTGTTTGTCACTGGTCACCCAGATGCCACCCATCACCCAGTCGACACTCTGCACCTGGATGCTATTCTTCCCTCACCCAACATTCTTCTTCCCACCACTTTCCTTCTCACATGCCCACCTCTACCCCACCTCAGCTATGCCAGACTCAAGCTCCTGACTCAGAGAGCTCGGGAACTGGGAGAAGGTACAAGAGAGGGCACATTCATCCGTCCCCATCCTCACCTCATCTTACCCAGCCTCCCCCATCACCATCCAGCGTGAAGTACACCCCGGTCAGCACCCGATCCCTCCCGCTACTCTCCTGACAAGGTCTCCACACAGCCTGGCCCAGCATCCTTGCATTCAAACATACAAAGATTAGTCATTTTCTGATCTATTCAGTGATCTGTCCTCCATGGCTCTAACAATTACATTAGTGATTCACAGATCTTATATCCATCCATCATCTATCTTTGCATTCCCCACATTTATACGAAGAGTTTAAGCAGTCTGCATACACCACACTCATTCAAACACACACAAATCACTGTATAGTTGCTGAAGCAGACATTCACACCTTCATGTAAAAAGCAACCTCACAAAGCTCAGGTGACTTCTCATGAACCACAACATGTGAACATGGTCTCTTAATACGGTGTCAGCAACAGAGACTGTGGATGGTAATGTTTTTAAAAGTTGCATGCAGTAGTTTCAGTGTTATCTGTGGTTTTTGATATTCAGTGTGTATGAATATTTCATGTTTTCATGGGTATTTTAGTAATTGTTTTTCATGTTTCTAATCCTCAATAAATAGATCACACAATAAAACATGCTGTATTCTGTTGGAAAGATGGAGGAACAAAGCAAACTAAGACTAAAAGGGACAGTAAGTCTAGAGGAAGATGAGGATATTTCTAATTTTAGTGCAGCCAAGCTGCATGTCAAAGGATGATGAAATATTCTGCTCCCCCCAGTGGACAATGCAAGAATTAACAAATGAGGCCTGAAAGCATAAAGCCCTTCTTGGTGCTCCAGTTACGTTTCGAGTTTAGAATTAGCAGGTGTATTTTATGTAAACCACAGTGGCAAAATCTAGTGTCCATTCCCTGGACAATTCTCCACCATCTTAAAATGTTCTCTTCTGTCTAAGTCTATAGGCGGCAGTGGCTCAGCTTTTCTGTTTTCTCATTTTTTCCTGGGAGAAAAGCACTTTCTTGTTCCAAGTGGATCAGGTGAAGGTGAAGTTGACCTTCCTACTGTTCATTTATCAGAAATAGGTTGTGTTGACATGAAAAGAATAATTGACAGGGATTAAAGTGGAGTGTCTGTATCTTCCAGTGACACTCGAGGCTTCTGAGGAGCTCTCCAGTCCTGCTTCACCTGCAAGTTGCCCACTCTGTGTCCTCAGTGTGTCCTCACTTGACAGTTTATTTAAGCTGTTGAAGCACTGAGAAATACCCCATCACCTTTTGCCATACAAGAACATGGATGGGATCTGTGGTGTTAATACAGTTTGATATTGGAGTGACCCTGAAATTAAAATAGTCCTTACTTGGAAAGACAGTTAAGTTATTCTGTCCTAGTAAATCTGGAAAATAGCTTCCAGTATTGCTGGAACCAGTCCCAGCTGACACTGGGCGAGAGGTGGGCTACACCCTGGTCAAGTCATGAATCTATCACAGGGCGTGCACATGAAGACAGACAACCCTTAACACTCACATCACACCCACACGCAATTTAGTGACACAAGTTTCAATATTTTATTTGGAATTTAGCTGCGACAAAACCAATAACAATTTTGGGTTCACAGACAACCTGGTCCTCCTTCAAATCCAATCACAGCCCTGTACTGTATGGTGAAATAAACTGCATAATAAATTCACCAAGATTAAAAAACTGTTGATTCTTTTAACTGAGTACACAAATCAGGTGGTAGGTTAAGAGTAAAGGCCTATATTAAGTGGTATAACCTCTCACCTTGCTGCCACAAAATAGACTTTGAGTGTGCTTCACTGCAAAGGAAAGCATTATACAAGCATAATACCATTTACCCCTGCCAAAGTCAAAATGTGATGCTTATTAGTATTAATAATATATGGCTTATTATTTCATAAAACTACGGGTTTAATTTCATTTTTACATCTTTCAAATGTGCCACTCCTTCCTGAGTCTATGCCCCAACCAGACCACCTCACGCAACATTGTCTAGATCTTCCCCTGCATATCACACACACCTCAGAGAATACTTTTCCAGTCATTATGAAGTGAGAGATGTGTGGCATGGTGGTTAGCGCCTGTCGCCTCACAGCAAGAGGGTTCCAGGTTTGAGCTTGGGCCGACCTGGTGCACTTTTTGTGTGGAGTTTGCATGTTTTCCCTGTGCTTGTGTAGATTCTGTCCGGGTACTCCAGCTTCCTCCTACAGTCCAAAGACATGCAGCTTGATTGGTGACTCTAAATTGCCCGTAGGAGTGAGTGTGAGTGTGTGTAGTTGTCTGTCTACATGTCAGCCCTGTGATAGACTGGCGACCCTATTCAGAAATAAGTGGTATAGATAAGAGATGGATGAATCCAAAAACACTGATTGTCTGCAGGGTGTAAGCTTATTAATTGATAATTTTTCAGCATGACTTGATTCAGTTGTAAGCAGTCAGCCAGCAGTGATTAAAACATTTTTCCTACAGGTTTGAGGTCAGTTGTCATAGATCCCAGTCAGATGTAGTAGCATTACAGACTACTTGAACAAAGACTGCTTTTAAATAACCTCTCAGGCTTGTTCTAAATCACTATGTTCTAACATATTTAGAACATAGTGAGGTCATCTACAAAAAATTCTGAATGAGAGAAGAAGAAAAGCACATGGAGATGACTATTATTTAATACCTAAAAGTCTAAAAGCATATTTTATGAGCTGGGACTTTTGTTTTATTTTTTCCTCACAAACATTAGGTCTGTTTGCAGAAACACAACTTAACACATGCTCGTTTTCTATAGCTACACACAACCCCCACCTTACACAATCTCCTCTTCAGCCTGCCCCGCTTCTCCGTGTGCATGCAGCTCCTGTGTGAACCACTGTGCGGCAGCATTGCCCCACCACCCGGATCGCAAGATAAGACCCCCCTGGTACTTTGAAACCGCTGATCTGCACCTTCATTAGCATTCACTCTGTGTGACCGAGGGGATGTGTGCTGATTCAACATGATGCTGTGATAACTGATATTGTTATCATGCAGATATCTAGATGATCCCTGATGATCTCAGGCACATTTAAAGTTTTGCAGGGGAGGAGATGAGAGCTGGGATAGTGCACAGGTGTGTGCGTATATGGGTGTGGGGTTGATGAAATGATATGTCATCATGTTGTGTGTGCGTAGAATGTGTGTGAAATACTTGCATTGCCTTTAGACAGTGTCATTAAGGCTACAAAGTGTTTTTGCTGACCCAAAACAGATGTAATTCTCTCTGCGTTGCTGTCGCTCGGCCCCGCCTTCTGTCTGTAATGCGCACACCGTGGTCTCCTGAGATGCCTTCACAACAGATGAAGCTTTTATAATGAATAGAATACCCACATGTCCGTGAATGAACTATTTTTCTATATAATAACAAATTTAATTTTTTTATAAATTTTGACAAAGCTTTTATTTATCTACTTGTTTACTTCCACCAGCAAAGAAAAGGATCCCTCTCTCTAGTCTGCACAGACTAATCCACAGGAGTCTGTATAGTTACTGTATAGAGTTGTTCACCCTCAATAGATACAGTAACTTTGTTTTTGTTTAGTTTGGTTGTCAATTTTAAAATTATGCTTTTTAATGTATTTTACTCTTCACAACATTAAAATACCCCAGACTCACTGTCTTTTCCCTTCTCTCTTTGTGCTTTGCTTTTGTGCCCACTCCTCCCTGTAAGTCTGGCTAAATGGCGTTCTATTCAGGCATGAGAAATGTCATCACTTTGTGTGTGTGTCTGTGTGTGTGTGTGTGCAACAGAAGAGTGTGCACTTTTCTGAGAATCAAGAAGGTAAAGGGTCACTTCACTCAAATTATAAAAAAAGAACCCTTCCCATTTAAACGTTGTGCTGTCTAGCCATGCAGAGAGGTTTGGTTTTATTTGTCAGTGTTTAAGTGTCATTTTTGACACACTTCTGTTCACCTCTATTGTAATGAGGTTGCAACAGAGGTCTGAGAAGCATATAACTCCACCTTCTTACCTAGTGTGTTTTAGATGAACCAACTCTTTAATGTACATGCACACACACACACACACACACTCAGTTAAATTTAGATTAACCTGCTCCTGGAGTTTTAAAGGTCATAGGGAGAGAAGTTAACCCCTTTCAAAATTCATTCCTCACCTCAGTCTTCACTTCCTTTTGTCATCCTCCTCTCTTTTTATTCTTTCCTGCTTTCCCTCCTTTTGCTGCTGTCATTCTGTTTTTCACCTGCGGTACCACCCCTCTCTCGTTACTCCCCCTCCTTCAGCCCATCTCCCTTGGCTTCCATATTGATTTACTCGATATCCCGTGGTCACATTCTTGTGGCGAAGCTTTCCGGCTGAAAACCGTTGACATTTACCTCACAATCACAACACAGCTCATTTAAACCCCGCAAAAATACACTTGGCTTTCACTTGACATGCAGGTGCTGCAAAAGTTGAACATCTAATGAGATAATGAACCACTCTGCTCCATTTGAGAAGGGTGAGTGAAAGGCTTGAGTAGCTTTATCTAAGGGCGTACATGAACTCCCAGTTTCCCTTCTATCCTCATGCCGACTCAACTCATTCCTTTGTTGGTCCTTGTTACTACCATGGAGATGTCTCAGATCTGAGGTGGAGTTTAGCTGAGATGAAAGAATGAGAGGCAGTGCTTTGGTAAGGTCACTTAAGTCGAGGCAAAGTGCATGCATGCACACACACAAAACATATCTGAAGGCAGGGTAGAAACACCCGTGGAGAGGATGGTGGGGACACAAAGGCTGCACCCTGCTCTCAGCCAGTGGTGCTGGAAGGAAGCAACCCAAATTTACTAGCACAGGTGGGAGGCATCACCCACAAACACACACTAGTGAAACGCAGGTGTGGACAACCGGGAGGTGCTCAACGCAGCAGGACCACCGGCAGTGAGGCTTAGAGGGATGTGTGCTGATAGTTGTGCATGTGAAATAATTAACAGGGTTCTACTCTCTTTCCCGATTTCGTCCCCATTTGAGCCTCTAATTGGATTAAATTACAGTAAACAACATAAATATCTGTAATTATGAACCACTTCAATTCCATCAAGCTATGAAAGCTTGAATAAATGTATGTAGATAATTTAAGGACTTTAATGGCAGGTGCAGCTTTTTCTATCAGAAAAAAATATGCCATGACAGGAACAAGACATTATGCAACACATGATTCAGTGAGAGTGAGAACAGTCAATTTATAACTGTTATAAATTTCAAATGTCACTTGGGCACCTCTCTTTGCAGAGTGTAATTCTCTTCGCCCTAATAAAACTAAGTTCATGTTATGTTCCTGATCAAAAGATAAATTGTATTCCTTGTGTTAGTTGCACTGAAAGCTTTTATAAACACTTATAATATCAATGGCTACTGGTATAAGTCAGTGTGAAATTGCATTCATTTCCTTCTTCACTCCTGCTTAGTGACTCGCTCCCGCCACTGATGTCTCATAACCGGCTGTCTGACTGAGGGAGTTAATGTGTTCAAAAGCCAGCTGTCCCTCAAATAACACACTCAATAATTCATACCACAAGGCATGCACAAATACACACATAGAGAATATGTGTGTCTGTAAGTGTGTGTGTGTGTGTGTGTGTGTGTGTGTGTGTGTGTGTGTGTGTGTGTGTGTGTGTGTGTGTGTGTGTGTGTGTGTGTGTGTGTGTGTGTGTGCGTGTTGCAGGCCAGTTCAACACTTTTTGTCGACACTTGGCAATGAAGTAGCAATATAAGTGCTGACCAGTGTTGTACAAAGAATCTTTGCTTGTTAAGGAGGCAATAAGAGAAAATGTGAGTGTGTTTGAGATACGACAGTTGTGTGTGTGTGCAAAGCAATCAGAGGGATGCTGTGTATGGGTGTGCCTGTCCTCTTCGCTAATGGAAATCAGATCGTTCATGTGTTGAGCCAGCAGAAGTAGAGCAGTAGATCCATCTTGTCAGACTGGGGTCAAAATCAGCAGGCCGACCTTTGTTCAGACGCTCCAAGTAATTTTTCTCCAAAACATTCAGCTTCAGCCAAATTGTGGCCAACTCTTCAATTAGCAAATGCAAATGCATTTAAGGATAAGACATAAAGGCAGTTTTACAAACAGGCAAACAGGTGGGTGGGGTTGGTGGGAGCACTTATCTAGATTTGCCTTATCTAAATATCTTGATTTGCAGACTTGTATGTTTTCCATTGACTGGTGACCTCAGCAGACTGCTGCACAGAGGCTCGGTGGGCATGTTGTTATAGTTTCTAGCTCCTATGTGTAACAGTTAGTGCTGTGTTTAGGTGGTTTGGGTCAAGTCAAGCCTTATCAAAGTGAGTCTTCAAAATTGCAAATCAGTTACAGGTTCTTTTTTCCCCAAAGCTCTGTTAGCAATGCTGTATGCAATAGGTAATGTGCATAGTCAATGTTACAGTAAAAAACCAATGTCAATTAATGATCAATTGATCAGGTGAAAATTAATCTGCAACGATGCTGCTTCTTCTTTCAGCTGTTCCCGTTAGGGGTCGACACAGCGAATCATCTGTTTCCACCTAACTCTATCCTCAGCATCCTCTACTCTCACACCAATTAACTTCATGTCCTCTTTTAGCACATCCATATATCTCCTCTTTGGCCTTCCTCTTGACCTCTTGCCTGGCAGCTCCATCTCCAACATCATTCTACCAGTATAACCACTATCCCTTCTCTGCACATGTCCAAACCATCTCAATCTGGCCTCTCTGACCTTGTCTGCTAATCAATCAAAATGATCAAATAACATAAAAAAAAAAACTAAACAAAAATACCCAGATTTCTCTAGTTCCATCATCTTAGCATGAATATTGCTGACCAGCCAATCAGCAAAATAATCCGTGGATTCATCACTAATGAAAGTCATTCTTTCAGGCATAGAAGAGACCAATTCATTTTAATACATAGGCCTGATAATAAAACATTATCCAAGTTAACAGAAAGGTAAAGATACTATATTATAGTAAGCAGTAGTAAAATAAATTGCACACACATTCCTTGGCTGATCTCATGTGTATATAATCAGAATATGATATTCACATGAAATCAGTCAAGTAGTTAATTAGCAATTCCAATTTGAGCACATTATCAACAATAAAATCAAGTGTATGGGTTGCTTACACATAAATATTAATGATTAGCTTATAATAACAATTTCATTTATGTCCAGCACATAATCTTTCACATTATTTGCAACTGTCTTCCATATTTTGAACCATAGCCTTGAACTGAAATTCTATTTCAAATGTCAAGACTCTAGGTGGCTAAAAATTGTGATGCCAGAATGTCTGACCTAAAGTTCTGATGCAATCGCAAAACACACATACTGAATTTATTCATTACTTTTTAATTTCATTAATTTATATATTTTAATAACAGCCAACATAGCATTCCATTTCAAGTTTTAGTTAAAAATGATACAAATAATTCCCTTTCTTGAGAATGTGTCCTTCAAAAACCAACTCCAATGTGTTTGTTTAAATGTATGCCCCCACCACTCCTTGGGGGTGTGACCTCTACTTTTCATATAGCACTAACATCAGTTCAAATCAACTAAATAGCTTCAGAACTAAAAACATTCCCATCAGCCTCAGGTGCTTTGTGCTAATTGGCAAATGTGACTAAGATGGAACATGAAGATGGAATGGAGATCAACATGTTGCTAGTGTGATTTCAAGCATGCTATCATAATAATAAACCAGTAGGCCAAAGTACAGCCTCACAGAACTTCTAGCATGACTGTAGATTTGACCTTATGACCCTGACACTGGTGTTTGAAAGCATTTTAATGTAGTCAGCCAGTAGAGTCAGGGCACAGTATTCATATCAAAGCACACTGAGCCTTCTCTAAACGTTACCATGTTAGCACTTTTTAGGGTGTTTTTGTCTTGAATCAGGTCATTAGTTCACTAAGGTGTGGTTGCAAGCAAGCACACACAGTAAGTTAACAGTACAGCACACCCTGTCCTCCGCTCCAGTACGAGTCAGAGGAGACCATAACTACAGAAGCTAGGCAGGATTTCATTGTCTTTTCTTTCTGCTCTGCTGCTTTAAGAGGCAGCGACCCTCTCCCTCCCTCCCCTCACTCGTCTACCCCCACAAACGCCTGATGATGTGCAGACTCCACAGGGCAGACTTTCAAACGATATCATTACCATTTCAAAGAACCTGCTGTTGCCTTATAGACCTACAAGCAGCGGCACGCTACACAGAGCAGGACATTGCTTGTCACCAACTGCATCATCACCTCACATCTTTTTATCTAAATGACAGCCAGCTACTGTATTGTTACACATCCCAGGCTCTGCCAGTTGTTGTGTGTTGTCTCAATTAGGGAAAAGGCATCGGTACTGTGTGTGTCTGCAGTTGTTGCATCACTGCAGCTTGACAGTATTTCAAACAAAAGCCTTGTTTTTGCTGTCAAATTACACTGCAGATACAGAGCAGAGACCAAGAGAGAGAGAGGGGCCGAATTACCGGCGGGCCTGTGAGGATCCATTTACACTAAACAAGGGTCAAACACTTTGGAGGACATGATTCCCATTTGATTATTTACTTCCCAAAAAGGTGAGGAGGGCTCCATAGAGTGCAGGGGGGGATGTCTGCCCTCCCACCCCTCATCCCATCACCACCAACAGCTTGAGGTGGTCTGATTTAAATACTGCTGAACACACACTCACTTAAGCACCCAGCAGTTTCTCGTGCAACATTAATGTCCTCTTTTATCCTCTTATGCACAAATGTCAACCTTTGTCAGCCTCCGTCTCTGCCTCCCCCTCCCACCCCCTCAGCCGTCCTCCACACTTTCAGCAGCTCATTCCTTCCTGTCCTTTCCTTTCTACTCCTATTTGTTTCCCTGCCTTCAGACCTATTCATTCATCCACCCCTACCAACAAACCCTTCCCCTCTTCTGTCTGCATTCACAGTTTTTCTGCAACTCACCCCCTCCTCCTATCCCGCATCCTATTGCACATTTCTCCATCACATCGTCATGTCTCGGTTCGCTTCTTTGGCTTTTTTCTCTCCATCTGCTAGGGTATCCTCTAATGACATCATCACTCCTACAGTTTCCATGGCTTCGAGGGAAAGGGATCGTAATAATTGTCTGGATCAAACAGACAGGATCAGTGCTGTTGCAGCGAACACACATGAAAAAATGGAATTTAAAAAATGAGGTACTCAAAACATTCAAAGGATTTACACTTTATTACAGGATCCACAAACAGTTTGCAGGTTTAGGAGTAAATGTAATGTAAGCAAGTGAGTGTGTGTGCATGTGTGTGATCAGGTCAGTGTTAACGATGGCTCTGTGTGAATGAACACGTTTTCATCATACAGGTCCTCATCCAGGTCGCCGCCTTCTTCAGTAAAGTAGGTGGGGAAAGGAGGGTTGATTAAGGTGGAGCTCCTGGTTGGCAGTACAGTATCTTTTACCTGAAACACACATAAATACACACACTTACAGCAATAGATCAGAGGATCCTTGTCTTAATGTAGTCTGAAACAAATAAGAGACAAAGTTTGTCACCAACAAATTTAATTATCCTTATTTAACAAGTAAAAATGCCCCCAAAAGGCCATTTCCAGCTGTTTTCTTATATTCTAAATTAAATATCTTTGGTTTCTGAACAAAACAAGCACTTTGGAAATGTCACTGTTTTTGTAGTCTTTCAATGTAAAGTTCTCAGCAAGTTGAAGGCACTTTCAATGTTTGCATCACACTACCACACAGGGTGGCGCCTGATCTGTCCTAAATTTATTCGGCAGCCTGACAACAAGGCCAATCACGGAGTCGGAGTCATAAGAACGAGGAGTGCTGCAACAGATGGTTTGACCCCCACAGAGCCTTGATCTCAACATCATGGAATCAGTGTGTGATGACATTAAAGAGTCAGAAGACATGAGACTGCTGAAAGCCAAAAGAAAAACTGACAAGTTTTCCAAGATGCCTGAAACAACTAAGTGTGAGTACACAAAAACTGTGAGTAAGTGTCCCTCAGACAACTGGTGTTGTTTTAAAGGCAAACGGTGCTCACACTAAATATGGATTTGATTTTGTTGTATTCTGTTTACTGCACTTTGTATAAAGTTAATTAAATAAAAACTTTTCACATTGTTTGTGAAAGCACCTCCACTTTTCACTGGCACAACATGGGCCGGCATCACCTGTGGAGCAACCAGAGGAAATGTAACGCATCCTACTGACTGCGATCGTTCATCAAAAAAGCATTTGCATAATACACCACGTTTGTTTGGCAGCGCTGCACACACACAGCACACACACAGCACACACCTGCTGAAGGAGTGTTTGCTGTAAACCACACTCAGACTGAAAATTTAAGGATTACAGCTTTATTTTTTATGAATCATTGACAATATAGGAAAACTACTAATAAAACTAAGTATTTAATTTAGTAAGATATTAGTTCTGTGGACAGTTTACCCCTGGTTTTACACACCACCGTTGCAGTGGCTCTAAGAACCCCTGGAGACCCCCGATCTGACCACTGGGCTAAATGTTTGCTCAACTTACAACAGAAATAATCAACTGATTAATAAATAATGAGAATTATTATTTGCATATCTAGAATTTGTTTAAATAAATAAAACACTGTTGTTCCTCTTTTACACAGGGGCATTAGGGCCCCACAAAATAACAAAACAAACAATATCGAATAAGCATTATTAACCTAGATGTGTAACCTTTAGGGTAATATAATCTGAAGTGGTGTGTGTGTGTGTGTGTGTGTAAGACCGAGCTGAGCTGGGCGAAATGCAATGCACATTTGTATTCATTAATGCTTGTCTGCAAAACCAATAATAGACTGTGTGCGTGTCTGTGCACACACACAAGGCGAGCACAATGTGCTGAGTATGGAGATGGATCCTGTGGATATTATGAACATCGCTAAGATCCACTCCCATTCCCTCACAGAATAGCACACAAACACAAATGGATGCATACACACACAGACTGCTGATCCAGCACAGTGTCAATGAAGATGGATTGCACTGTCTTGCAGGTGTGACGGTGTTTCACGGGTACAAGGTCAAACGTCTCTGTCAGAAGACGAAGCATGCTAAGCATGTTGGTGTTGACCTTCGGCTACACACTCTTTGAGTGTATGACTAGCTTTACCTTCAGTAAGCAGTTCCTGTGGCCAGGGACGGAGCCGTGCACGTACAGCACATTATACTTGGTATTGACCCTCCATATCTGAAGACGGATAGAGAAAAGGCAGATTCTAGAATACTGAGCTGAAATTGTAGCCAGGCCAGTCTGTGTGGGGTGTGTGTGTGTGTGTGTGTGTGTGTGTGTGTGTGCACCTTCAGTCCATGAGCTGTGATGTAGATATTGCCCATCATGCCAGGCATTTTCTTCCCTTTGAAAACTTTGCCTGGATCCTAGACGCAGATGATGAATGACACATGCACTCACATTCCATTCATTTTGGGAAGCCAACTGTTTATTTCTGGTATGCCTGAGCATCTTACACAGTCTGTGTGCGTCTTACCCCTCCAGGTCCAGAAGCTCCTGGCCTGCGATGAGTCTTGGTTTGGCCATGGCTGGCTGGCTGACCTTTGAACCCCCATCGCTTCATTACACCTTGAAAACCTTTACCGATGCTACACACAAACACAAGAAAACAGATGCACTCCCCGTTATATTTTCAGATTACATCCATGACGACTTGTTGTGTCACAGGACAACAATATAAAGAGAGGTTCCCACAAAGTAAAAATGTAATGCTGGAGCTGAGAGAGGGCACCAAATAGGAAAGGAAGCTGAAAAAGAGCACCAGTGAGGAGGGATAGCTGGCAGAACAGAGCTTACGATTTGCTTGTGACATCCACATACTGGCCTGGACGGAAATGTGCTGCATAGAGAGGAGTGCCTAAACACACAACAAACAAGATTCCATTACTGAACGTTAGAAAAGGTGCAGTAAATGAGTATGGCTTTAATTATGAAGTAATACATGTGTGCATACCTGGCTTGATGAGGGCATTGTCAGAGATTTTAAAGGTGGCGATTTTCTGCTTTGGGGGCACTCCTGCATTCCTGAACATCTCCATTTGCTTTTCAGACCTCTGTCAGTGAAAACGATGGAAAGAGAGAAAAGTGGAGGAAAATAAAGTGGTAAAAGTATGATTAGTGTGCAGCAGTTGACTTTGGCATTTTAAAATTAACCGTGGGCCTGTTATGAGCATACAGGAGCCAAACACACACACACACACACACACACTTGGCAGTGAGAGTCCGTGACATTTGCTTTCTCTCGGCTCGCTCTCATCTCAGCCCCTCCAGTCACTGTACACTCTTGCTCTCCCCTTCTGTCGACTAAAAATCAGCCTGCCAAAGCTTCTCACTCTGGCTCTCTCTGACTGAGGAGTGATGTGGCTGTGTGAGGGATTCAAAACACCTTCACAGTTGACAAGTGAAACCTTAAAACTCAAAGAAATAAATCACACTTCAATTTATTCATCGCTGTCCTTTTGTCTTACAAAGATGTATGGTGCATTTAGAGAGAGAAATTCCTCCTCATACATACCAAGAGGCCATTCTCATAACAATAACAACTTATTTAAAACTGTCAACCCTTTTGTACGCTCACAGAGCTGATGTGCTGTCACCTCAGTTTTCAATGTGCTAGCTCTAATGAAACCTCCAAGTTTATTACAAGCCTGAAAAACACCTTTCAAATCAAGTGCGTTTGTCATGGCTGGGGTCTGAAAGCAGCAATGAAATCTTTTGGATCCTGTTTATTTACACACCTAAGATAGGTGTCACGGATGGTTAGTGGGGGGAGTATAATTTACTCACTATCTCTAGTCATAAAAGGTCTTTATACAGGGAGGCTTGTCATGGACTCCACAGGGAAATGACAAACGTCTGCTAAAGTTGTTGTCACACTGATTTGATTTTATGAACAATTATGAAATGTAGGCAGAACTCAAATGAGCAAAATGTTGTTAGGAGCGCACACAGTGACTGAATCATGAATCAACCGTGTGTGATGAACACTGTTCACACGCAGGACATTTTGACGTGATGAAGTGATGAGTGCTGAGGCTGGTTTGATGAAATATGGTATTCACAAATGTTACATCTCTCAGTAATAGTATAAACAAACAACACAGCTTGGATGAGGAAAAGAAACAGGCTGTATGAAAGTTTGTAAAAACATGGAGGGAATTAGTTATTTTTAAGTTAAATATTGCTATAATTTCTCAAGCTACTGGAAGGAAAGAATAAAAAAATAAATAAAAACAGCACACAGTAATTTTATTTGACATTTATGTGCCTGGAGAGCAGCTGATTAAAATACTGCTTCCCCATTACTTAACACTAAAATGTTTTTCTATTTGAATTTTTTTTAATCATTTACAAAAAACTTTCCAACACATTTCAAAACATTTTGTTTTCCTTAAAGAGAAACTCTTATGTTTTGAGAGAAGAAACACATTCATTCACTTGCAATGTAATGTACTGTTGCTGAATCACGCTCACTTTTGCTGAAGTGACCCTATTCGCATTGTCTTTTGATACATTTTCTTATTTAAAAAAATGTATTACAGCCACTTTAAACAAATTTGAGCCTGAAAAAAGAACCAAATTAAAGCTAAAGAAGGTGCTTGTAACAACACTTTCCACATATTCTCTAAGTAGTGTCATAAAAATTAGTGCTTTAATCATTTGAAGTTTCTTACATAGAATGGTGATACGTTTTTTCCTCCTACGATGAGAGCAGCTGTGTGGCCATCATACTCTTCTTTTGACAGATGCTTTATTACGTGGCAGTCTTGCACCTAGAAAAAAGTTTTCAGAAGGCAGTGTGAGTGCAGTTTTTCATTTAACCATCGTCTGTCTGCTGTTTTCATGGTGCCACCTGTTTCTTCCTGAGATACTAAATATATTTTTTAAAAATATTTAGATATTTTTAGAAATGCAATTAGATGAAAGTCCCATGCCACAGGGTAACTCACGATACCTGCCAAAATAAAATTGGATAACCTTGTATTTTACAATACACAATATGACAAGTTCACACTTGAAATTCCAAACAATATTTATTTCTTTCTTTCACCAAACTGAAATTAAATACCTCATCTTCTTCTT